AGAAGAAGTAAAACCAAATTGCTCACTGGAAGCACTAATAATGAAGTGTTGGACACATGATACAAAGGCAAGAGTCATTGAGGAAGACCCTGATGCTTGGAAAATTGAGGACAATACAAAAAAGGCTGATGGGAAACTAGGTGGCCAGATACCATCACTAGTCACACAAACATGAGCATACAAGACCTCAAAGAAGCAGTTACTGAGAGACTATACTGGCAAAAGTATCTCTGTCAGCTGACAAAGAGTCAGAAACAACAAGAGCATGATGCTCAGTACGAATGATTGAATGATTAAATGTTAGTAATCCTTGAGAAATAGCTGGGCTGGTCTGTAGCAAGAAAAAGGAAGTGTGTGTGATTTTTAAAGATTCATTATGACATGACCTCATTTACGAAAGAGCCTGTTTGGTTTTTATTTGCTCATTGAACTTCTACCCTGTTTTACCATTACAAACAATCCCAAATCGGCCCATCTGAATAGAACAAAGAAGCTTACTAATGGGGCTGTATTGTTATTCTGTTTGTTATGGTGACAGAGAACACAAGCCTTTGAACATAACAAATTAATAGTCTGACCAGTCAGTGGAACCTGAGCGAAAAGCTAGGATCCACTTTGTTCTGAGATTTGCCCTGTGTCTCTTCTTTAGAATCTGCTCAAAGGGATAAGAGATGCAAACGCTAGTTGTTACTGGCTGAATTCAGTGCAATATTTTCAAACTTCCAGCTTGGTCCCAAGGTTAATGAACTGCTGACACTGGTGGCATGAGAGGTGATAATTTTTCATATCTTGCTCTTGCTGCCTTTTTTTTCTATTTCTGTTCCTATTTATTTCATTATTATCTAGGCAGTTCACCGATCAAAACATGAACAATAAAATAATGCAATGATAAAAACAAAGAACAAAAGATGGCACAAACCAGACAACACGCAAAGCAAACCCACATTACCCAGAAGGGGGTTTCAGTCACCCTCACCAAAGCCCTGAGTAAAGAGCCAGGTCTTCAAGACACTCCAAAATACCAGCAGGGTGGAGGCCTCCTGGATCTTGGGGGAGACCTTATTCCAGAGGGCAAGTGCTAGGGCAGAGAAGGCATGCTTCCGGGGACCTGATAGATGACACTATCAAAGGAACCTGGAGCACACCAACCCTGCCAGATCTAACTGGCCAGGCAGATACTGTAGGAAACAGGTGATCCCTCAAGTAACCAGGCCTTTTGCTATGTAAGGCTTTATAGGTAACTACCACCACCTTGAATTACACCCAGAAGCAAACCAGCAACCAGTGAAGCTTGCAGAGCAGAGGTGTTACATAGGCATACCAAGACGTGCCCGTCACTGCCTGTACTTCTGCATTCTGGACCAATTGAAGCCTCTAGGTGGTCTTCAAGGAGAGCCCTATGTAGTCTGCTTTGCAGTAATCAAGCCACAAGGTGACCAAGGCATGAATGATTGTCTCAAGGGCTTCCCAATCTAGGAGAGCTTGCAACTGACACAGCAGATGAAGCTGTGCAAAGGCCTTCCTGGTCACAGTCTCCATCTATTCATCAAGTAGCATCTATAAGTCCAGGAAGGCCTCTAGATTGTGCATCACTCTTGAATAGGGAAGTGCTACCCCATCCACAGTTATAGGTGGAACATCTCCAGATCTGAGTGGCCCAAACATCCACAGCCACTTGGTCCTGGTAGGATTAAGTTAGAGACAGTTCTTCCCCCTCCATACCCGAAACCAGCGGATGACCTCACCCAGTAATTTCATGTAGATGTTGAAGAGGAGAGGAGAGAGGGAAGGGCCTAGAGAACGATCTCTTCCACCCAGCCAGCATGATTGAAACCAGCCCTTGAGAAAGGAAAACAACCACTGTAAAACCTTGCCCCCAATCCCCAAACCCTGGAGCCGGCTCAGAAGGACATGGTGGTCAATGGTATTGAAGCCACTGAGAGACCAAGGAGCCCAAGGATGGATAGCCACCTCCACCACCACCTCCATCCAGACTCCAGAACAAGTCATCTATAAGCATGACTAAGGCTGTCTCAGTACTAAATCCTGTTCTGAAAGCTGTCTGAAACTGGTCTAGATAATCCATTTCCTCCAGGGTTCTCATCAACTGCAGATTGACCAGCTTCACAACAACCTTCCCCAGCCTATTGAGCAGGGGATGCACCACCATCTCTTTCAAAGCAGGAGGCACCACCCTCTCATACAAGAAGGCTGATACCATAGCATGGACCCAACCATGGATCATCTCCCTGGCCACTTTTACAACCCAGGAAGGGCCCATATCTATAAACAGGTGGCCAAACTGACAGCACAAAGAACCCTGTCTACTTCTTCAGGAGTCACTGGCTCAAACTCATCTCAGATCATACCACCAAAGCATGCTGTAGGCACCTCAGCCTGATCTGCCCAGTCAGAGTCCAAGTCATCTGAGCAATTCTATTTGCCCAATAGCCCGAATAATCCTCCCAGCAGCTTGGCAAATGTCCTGAGGAGCCCTCCCTATCCAATAGGGAGTAGATCGCCCTAAATAGGGCTGCTGGATGCCTATCAGCGGACACAATAAGGATAAAAAAAGATTGAGGTTTCATCGCCTTATAACTCCCTAATGTGGGCACTTACTTGTGTCTGGTCAGATTCACTTCAAGTCTTCATCTGATGGTTCTCTAGGGATCTCTTCTGGCAAACTCCTGGAACTCCTCAATAAACCAATTAGTGCCCCAGGATTGGCACACAGGGAGAGGCTTCACTGGGACAATATAGTCCAAGGCCCCAGCCACTTACCCATTCCAGGCAGCAATTAGGGCTTGGCCGCCCACCAGATTCTTGGGGGAAAACCCAACCGCTCTCTGGAACCCTCCTGGGTCCTGGGGCAGGCCAATCAAATGGGCCTGTCTCCCTGCAGGGGGGAGGAGTGACACCAGTGAGCCAAAAGGCAGTCAGAGTGTTCTATTGAAACAACTGTGTGACATTGACACTAAGGACAGTTTTATTAATAAGTCGAAGAAACCTAACTAACCAGTATATGTTAGCCACTTAAAAAGAAAGGGGTGGGGTGGGGAAACCCACCCATTGATTGCTTAGGAGCAAAACAGAAGAGCTTGCAAGTTTTCTGGATGTACCTAGTTACAGGAAGCTGGACTAGATAGGCTTTGGCCTATTGTAGTAGAGTTCTTGTTTTGTGACAGTTTTAAAGCTTCCTGCTTTGATGCCTAAATTTGATTTGATACTTACATGGGAATTGAGGACAGGCAACATGGTGCTTGTAGGTACATTTGTACTCTCTTGATGCTTACAAGACCTTCTGCTCTATTTGCCTTTTATTTTTTTAAAGATTCTTTTAATTAAAAAATATTATCTTATGATAAATGCCTGTTTGGTAACCAGTCATGATCGGGGTTGCTGCCATTTTGTGAACAAGAAGAATCCCTTGTTGCGGCAATTTGTGAGCTCTCACACTCCAAACGTGCCCTCTGCCTTGTTCTCCACTACATGCTTGAATTGATTTAATTGTCTCCCATTTGAATCTGTGAATTAAAATGAATTATACAATTGAAGTTCCCAAAGTTGATCAGAAGCAACTATGTGATGCCATCATCCAAATTCTAGGTCATGATTGAGTGTTTAATAAGAGATTCCTCATATCTATCTCCACTGCTATCATTAATAGACCACCTTATGTTATAAAAAGTCCTTATTCTGCAGTTCCTCAAAAATGTTCTCCACCTTTGTTATAATGATATCATGCCCTTTTAGATTCTGCACGTTCCTTCCCAAGTATAATGCTCTGTAGTTCCATTTCACTTCCTCTTTGCTTGTTTTGGTTATATATTAATTTGTATTGCATTCATAGTTTTCCTATGGTATACATTTTTATCTTTCTATCATGCTGATAAGCTCAGTTAGAAAGCTGAGGTTCTCTGATACTCGAATCAAGTAGAGATATTGCTGAGCAACCAGCCCTTGGAGAATTTCTGCTCAATGAAATTGTTGCAAAAAGTGTAACCAGAAAATTCTCTCTCTTCTATGCTTAATGTCAGGGCTTCATACTAGGCACAGGGATGAATCTCTCTCCCTGTTCTGCATTCCCAGACAGACACCAGAATATTAGACAAGGAGGTTGCAAAGAATTAGGAAACCATACATGCAAAGTTCTGCATCTGCAGCACTCTGGAATCCTACCTTCTATATGTTTGTGTCCCCCGCCCCCCCGCTTTAAATCTTGGACCTCTTGCTCCATCTTTTTTGGCCCACAGCTCTGTAGCCAGTCATTTTCCAATCTTGAAGGTTTCTGTTATCTGCCCCTTAATTATACAATGACTTTCACTGGGATGAAAATCAGAGGCTCCTGCCTCACCCACTTCAGTGGCCAATTTCCCATGCCCCCGTGTTGAAGACTTTACTCCATTTGCACGCTGTTGACTTATAAATCTTGATTAATTGATCTTTGTGGAAAAAAATGTCTTTCAGCAGAAGAATAAAAATGTGAATGGGGCTTTTAAAAAGAGGTGGTACTTCTCTAACTGAAGCCCCCCTGGAGGACCCAGTCCCCATCCTGGAGTAGTTAGACTCTGAACACCCTTCGGAATGGATGGTTTTAGGGAATGGACGCTGCAGCTTTGCAGTGCCGGAATTCAGCAAGCCAGCTCTGGCTCTGCCCTCAGTCCACAGCCCCTGTTCTTTGACTGAGTTGAACGGCAGACCTCATGGCCTAAGTTTTTGATTTCTTGTTTTCATTCTAATGGAAAGTAAAGTAATATATATAAAATGTGACTTTTTAGATTGCAGGTTGGACTGTGCACACCTTAATTTAAAAAATTATCCCATAGAAGAAAACAAGCACATTGGGGAGAAAGCTAGATTAGAATTCACCTGGCAACTATTTTTCTGCATCAAGGGAATTTCTTTGTTTATATCAAAGTACATTTAATTAAGTGCTGTTGAACATGAGTGCCTCATATTGTATGGCTGTGTATAACCCAGGCTTTGCTTTCTGTGTTCAGCGTTCTGATCCAAGACTACTGTCACAGTTTTTCTATGCTGATGAACGAGTGACTCAAGTGGTAACAGAAATCAATTGCTTGGATGTAGAGACCGATCCTCAACAATATCTGACACTGTTAAACCAGTTGCATCTTAGTCAGGTAAGACTTTTTGGCAGAGAATAGATTTTATGAAGTGGTAGCAGATCAGCAGTCAGGAGGGGGTGCATGTGACTATACAGTATTCACAAATAGGAGAAGTGGAACTTCCTCCTTGCATTTTCCCATGTGTGCCAGCAAAGATTTCTATCTGCCTTTCTCCTGGTGGAACTCCAGAACTGAAAGTTATTCCTGTCAAGGGGATACATAGAAAGAGGTTTATGATATGAACAGTCATTCTATTTCCTACCATTCCTACTCAAGCTGGACTGCAAACCCTGATAGTTAAGTAGCCTGAATCAGATTAATCTACTTAGCCTGTGCCCTTCAGATAGCAGATGGGTTGAATTACAACTCTTATCATCCTCAGACAAACCAACTAGAGGAGGAGGAGGAGGAGGAGGAGGAGGAGGTTGCTGTTGTTGTTGTTGTTGTCTTCAAGTCAGTGTTGACTCCTGGCAACTGCCTGGACTAGTCCCTGTGGTTTTCTTGACAAGATTTCTGATGTGTTTGGCCACTGCCTTCTTCCCAGGGCTGAGAGAGAGTGACTGACCCAAGGTCACCCAACTGGTTTTGTGCCTAAGGCAGGACTAGAACTCATGGTCTCCTGATTTCTGGCCTGGTGCCTTAACCAGTACACCAAACTGGGTCATTAAAGGCTAATCTAGTTTTTCCCTCTTTCCAGAGGATCAGTTGTATGGTGCAATTTGTATAGCTCTGATTGGCAAGAAGAAACATGGACATTTTGCAGGAATGTAGAGTGTCTTCTTAGTGCACACTGCTAAGTATTTAAAATAACATGTTTTAAAAGTAACATTTTAGCCCTTAGCTGAAGGGAAAAATTAAACAGTGAACCATTCTTGTAAATGGTTCAAAATCAATTCTGGAGCCTCCCCTTTTCACTGATTTCAGTGTGGAGCGTACCACAGGTGTTCTCTTATAGTTTGTTGATTCTTTGTAGCTTCATTCATTTCTGGCTCAAATATGAGGCTATGGGGCTTGCCCTTCAGTACGGGTCTGAGAAGAATGGGTTTTATATTGATATATTGGAAATCAGTCAAATGTATTTTTAGATAAAATAGTAATATTTCTTCCTTTTCTGGCAGGCTGAGTTATTGGCTATCATAGAACAAATCATGGAGGAATGTATCCCCAAGGAACGACATGGTCGTGACTATGTCATTAAATTCCCTGAAGACCTTCTAGTGGACAACCTACGGAACCATATGTTGTTTGCTGCTGAGGTAAGTCATGGGGGAAAGATACTGAGATGCTTCCACAGCTCCTGAACGTGCTCTGGTAGAGTGAAAATTATCATATTTTTGTATTACATTTTATATGTATTGTAAATGGAGCTGTACCCAAACATAAAGGGCTTGCATGGCCATACTCTAATAATCTGGTTTAGCTGTTCCAGTATCTACCTCCTGCGTTCTTTTAATCTATCTATCTATCTATCTATCTATCTATCTATCTATCTATCTATCTATCTATCTATCTATCTATCTATCTAGTTTGTATAGCTGTCCATCTTAGAGCACAACTCTGGGCAGCTCACAAATTATCTGTTATCTATCATGGTCCAGACTGTTACTGAATTTTTAGGGCATGAGGGTTCCTTCTTTACTGGGATATAGTCTGGAATTATTCCAAGAATGAAATCTCAGTACCTTGTAGGACTGCTCACTTGACCTCTGAAACAACTTGTACCCTGTGTTGGGGAAAGGCAACCAAGGGATAAGGAATGTTGCTTTATTCTTGGGTTCTTTCCATTTAGTGCCTCATGGCACGCACCTATATTGACGTGGAGGAGGCCGATGGAGTACGGCTACGTCCTCTGGCCAAAGATTTGCTGTGCAGCTTAGAGGTGGTGCGGATGGTACTCCGAGAGCAAAGCTTAAACCAACCTGGACCTTATTCAGAGACTATCCGGAGAGCATTAATCCGCTTCGATGTGCTTTTTGCTGAGTTTGAACTGAGGTATGAACTAAGTTCACTCATATATCAGTTTATGCCATACTTGTTAATCTCTCAAAGAAATCAGGTTGCCCTGTGAAGGTCTAGAAAGGACTTTGGTCAGAGTTAGAAGCAGGGATGACAGCATGGGCTGCAAGTCTCTGACCTTTTGTGGCAGTGAGCACATCTGACCTTTTGAGAAGAAAATGGCTGCTTGGGGTGAGGGTGCCCATTGATAAAATGGTAGCCACAGGGACAAGGCTTGGTAGAGCATATTAGATAATATACTGAATAAATTGAATTGGGATATGGAGCAATAAGTATTGATATGTGGGCTCAGAGATGAAAAATCCTAATTGTTGTCCTTTGGATTGTAAGCAAAATAGTGCCAAAAACACCTTGGATAAATCCGATCAGTTATTAAGGAGTGACAACAAAATTGTATTTGATAAAGAAGCAAAAAGGGGAAAATGTTTTGGGATTTGAATGCAGAGTAGTTGCAGGGTGTGTTCAGTTGGATTTCAAAGTGTGTCTCTCTTCCAGCTATGTGTCATCTTTAGTTTCTGTTAAATCACCTGAAGAGATCTATAGGCAGCAGGAGATTGTTGTGCTCTTCTGTGAAACCGTGGCTAGGTGAGCATTCTGACGTGGTTTCTTCACTCTCTGTGGTCTGGGCCAGCACACATCTGTGTCCGCGATGGAATTATATCAGGCTGTGTAAGCAAATCTTTCAGCACGCCTTTGAATAAATATCGTGGCCCAATGTACATGTAGAATAATCAGTTGGGTTTTAGGAGTATCCACAGATTTATTTCTCATGCTCTGCCCCTTCATTCTCTCCCTTACCTAGAGCTCTGAAACTTGGCTACTTGACTCAGGAGATGATTGATGGATATGAACCACAGCTGATGTTCACCATTCCCCGCCTAGCTATTATTAGGTATGGGTTTAATAATCATCTGGTGGTTGACTATCAAACCTTGTAGCAGCCTAGACTTCCATAGGCCAGAACTCCTGAAATGTTGGACCCGGCAGTTCTGATGATCAAAAATGGCATGATGCGTATATTCTTAGAAGAATTTGGAGCAAGTCGACTGACGTAACATTTACCCAGTAAATAGAGTTATTACTATGGGTTCAGATTTGGTGTTCTCTTGTGCTCTCTGCATTGTTGACATTAGTGAGCATAATATGCTCCACCAAAGAGTGCATTGCAATTTATGGAATTCCTTCTCCTTGTTTGGTAAGTAACTGCAACCCTAGAAAACTTAATTAATGACCTGATTTGTATCTAAACGTTTTCCATTGGGACAATCATATATAAATGTGGCATATTATTTCCATGGCATAGCTCTTCCTCTGAAAATCACATATTGTCTTTTTGTAATCTTTGTCATGCATATCAACTTCTTTCTGCTTTTTAAACCACAGGAGGCTGCATTATCAGATTTGTTTCTGATATAGTGAGGAACTTGCTGATCTCTTAACTTGCCTTCAGGTTATTCTTAATAGCTGATGTAGAACATGAACTGAGATTGTTAATTCAAAGTTTCTGGATTGCTTTCTTTCTAAACCACCATCCTGCTTGCCTTTCCTGAGGTGGGGGTAAGGATGGAAGGAGTGACATCTTTTTAGTTGGGTTGGTCTTTCAAAAGCAAATTCTATTTTACTATGCATCCTTATTAAGATAGTACTTGGTGATGGCATGTTACATTCATTTCTGGCTTTGCCAAATTCCATTTACAATAGTCTTTCAAAACACAGTGTCTCCTATCTTGGCAAAAAATAATAATGCTACTTCTATTTTCCAACATTCTGCCAGTAACAGACCAAGAACTGCATCTGTGCCTTCTATCTCTTGGGCAACATAGGTGTCCAACAGAAATTTAGAAAGATGTTGACACAGAATCCAGGTTGTAAAAAGGAAAGATGCATTACAGTCAGTAGTAACCTCTACAAGGAATGGAAGGGGTTATGAAAAGTAATTCTGAAAGCTATGGAAAATGAAGTTTATTTATGAAAGGCTTAGAAGCTTGGTGTCCTATACAGCTTTCTTTGTTTTATTTAAAAGACTTATATAGCTGCCCATATTATAGCCACAATCCTGGGCAAATCACAAGACCATAAAAACAGCAAAGTAACCAAACAATTGCAATAGAAACTTAGGTACCTTAGGCAATACTCTCCCACACATCAATATATCATCTTGTTGGGCTCATCCTACACCAGCCTCATCCTAACCAACACTTGAGGGAAGAACCAGAAAGCAAGGAGACACTTAAGAAAGTGTCATTAACATGCTCAAAAATCATTGCTTAAAATATACAAAAAATCTAGTTTTGCTGAGATTATGCTTTCAGTGAGAGTGTGTATGTGTGTGTTTTAAGACACCATTAGGTACTTCTAACTGGTATTTTTGTTTTACTTGCTTTCTGTGCAGTGGTCTTCTGATCTATCCAGATGGACCCCTCAATTTGGAACGGAGGCCAGAGGAGATTTCTCGAGTCTTCAGCCCCTTTTATGTCTTGCTTAGAAAAATCAGGTGCGTGACTAAAAAATAGCAGTGCTGTATAAGAATACAATTAACCATTAAGGATTGGGGTATTTTGTGGAAGGTTGTGCATGCTTAGTTCCAAATTATATGTTACACAGAACTCTAGGTGTGTTTCTTCTGGGCCAAAGCACTTCAGTTTACAGCCTGGATTCTTCCACATAGGATAAAATTCCCTACATCTAGTAATTAAGCACAGGAGAGAGAGGTAGTTACTGATACATCTTTTCTCCCTGATGCAATGGTTTAATATATCCATGGGTTAAAAAAAAAGAGGATAGTATTTTTTAAAAATGCAGTTCTTGCTATGTTGCTGTCTGAAATGATGCAATCCCAGATACATTTTACCAGATAAAAGTTTGTCATCAAAGTTATCCACTTTAAGCTAGTCCTTAGAAGTAGGAGGCAGTGTAGAGAGTCAGTGAAAGTGACTTTCTTCTCTAGAGAAACCCAGCAGAGGATGAAGTGAGATATTCTGAGAGTGAGATCAGTGTGATGCATACTGTGGAGAAATGCAGTAGTTTACTGCTTCAGTGGGCTGCAGGTCCAATACATTTGTGCATGGTATGAGCCCCCTCTCTTTTTTTTTTTCAGGCTTAGCTTTGCATTGCTTTTCAGATCCTACCATACAGGCAATTTGGAGCAGCCATTCTTCCCAAGGGGTTGTTGGAGCCCAGTTGTCCATCCTGTCCATTAGGAACACTTTATTTTGTTGCTGTTGATGTTGTTTTCTTCATGAGTCCTTCCTCTTACAGGGATTTGCTGCGTGTGCTATCCAAGGAGGAGTTGTACAAGCTGGAAAAACGTGTGCTGAATGAATGTGCTACAGATTCACAGCTCTGCAGTGATAGGGACTCTCCAGACTTCCAGGGTTTTGCAACTCAGTGTGCCTTCCCATCAGTCTCAAGGTGTGACTAAGAATCTTCTCCTCCCCGGCACTCTTCACCCACCCACTTGAATGCTGGTTGCCTAACTTTAGCTTATGAATTGGGAGAGTTGTTCATCTGCAACTTGCTGGGAAGGAAGTTGTCTTCTGTGGCAGCATCAAAAGGCCAGGACCAAGAGATACTTTGCAATATGCAGTTAAATGGGAAGTTTTTGTCCAGTATGAACTACTTGAGATGAAGGGGGTAGATAATAGAAGCTGCCAAGTAGGGGTAAGCTACAGACTGATGTCTCTTTGATCAGCAATCATATTTCTTGCATGTGGAAACTTGAGTGGAAATGCATAACTTTATTTCAGGAGTTCCTTGATTGGCACACAGATTCTTAGGGGAGGGGATGGTCTCCCCTAGAATGGTAAAAACTCTTTACACCTTTTCTAAAAGCTTGTTCACCCCTTAACAGGCCCTTTGGACAGGAATCTGACAGTGCTCAGAGAGGAATGTTCATGGATGTTCCACAGAACTCTCAAAGGCTGGAATTACGAGCCCGTTACCGCAGTACAGAGGACATGATTCACACATTATTTGTCTGTATTTCTGGTGAGTGCTTCATTCCTTGTATTCTATAACACCATGGATAGCAGCTTTTGTGTAGCAGTTTGCAAAATAAGGCTTAAACAAGGGTATTTTGCTCTATGCCACTCACAGCCATTTGGAGTGGAGCAACATAGAAATGTCAGTAGTAATTAAGGATATTGTTCTTTTCAAATCAACCTCCATACCATCACCACCCTGGTCAATTTTTACTGACAAGATAAGTGACTGGAAACTATTTATGCTGGGAACAAATGTAAAGCCTGTTAAAGTGGTGAGGTATTTCCTTCTGGAAATGGATATATATAGAACTCTGCAAAGTTTTAGGCAGGCGTGAAAAAAATGCTGTAAAGTAATGCTTTCAAAAATATATATTGTAATTGTTTATGTTTATCAATTTACAAAATGCAAAGTGAGTGAACAGGAAAAAACCCCAAATCAAATCAATTAGAACTCTGCAAAGTTTTAGGCAGGCGTGAAAAAAATGCTGTAAAGTAATGCTTTCAAAAATATATATTGTAATTGTTTATGTTTATCAATTTACAAAATGCAAAGTGAGTGAACAGGAAAAAACCCCAAATCAAATCAATATTTGGTGTGACTACGCTTTGGCTTCAAACCAGCATCAGTTCTTATACTTGCACACTTTGTACACTTGCACAAAGTCAGGGATCTTGTAGGATT